TATGTCCTGAAAGCTGGTTGTGTGAGAGATCAAGAGTTTCAAGCCAGCGTAATTTTCCGATGCTTGAAGGAATCTCTCCAGCTAATCGATTCATCGACAAGTTCAATGTACTTAATTCAACCAGACTACCTACTTGTTCAGGGATTTCACCTTCAAAATTGTTTGACGAAAGATCAATCATGTTTCCCCACTTGGCTAACTTGTCATCCCCATATTCGAGCTCTTTCCCTTTTGACGTTATTGTTGTTTTTCCATCATAGCCTTCATACAAGGTGAATCTTTGGCATGTATCATTGACTTCAACTAGACAAGTCATATTTTTTAGACACTTAGAAATGGTCCCTGAAAAGTTGTTGTGAGCAAGGTCTAGGACGTGAAGGTGTGGAAGATTGCAGAAATGGGGAGGGATATGCCCGCTTAAAAGGTTGGATCGCAGTTGTAACACTTCCAAGGTGGATACATTTGATCCAATCCATAAAGGTAGGTTTCCAGTGAATTTGTTGCCTCCAAGATTAAGTATGATCAAAGAAGTGCAATTTTGTAAGGAAAAAGGAATCTCACCACTAAAATTATTATTATTCACCTTAAATATTTCAAGAGAACTTGGCATACCCATTGAACTCGAAATATTACCAGAAAGATTGTTGTGTGAGACATCAATAATGTTTATTCCACTCCACAAACTCCACCGTTGAGGGAACTCTCCAAATAGTTGATTGTTTCTTAGCGAAATGACATACATATCCTTCATGTTGCAAATAGAGAGTGGAATAGTACCATTCAAATGATTCTCAGAAACATCCAAATATATCAATTTGGGCATCAATTGGTCTAAATTGGAGGGAATTGGACCGGAAAATAAATTGCTTTGAAGATCAAGGGAGATGACATTAGTGGGCCAAAGTGGAAGTGGGCCTTCCAATTGATTATGACCCAAATTGATACTCTGTAGCTTTGGAAACTTTAATTGTGATGGAAGCCTTCCACTGAAGTTGTTGTAAGATAAATCCAAATATTTGACTTGGGAAGATATCTTCGACAACCATTCCTCTATGGAATCTGAGATGAAAGTATTATAAAGGCTAATATAGACTAGTTCAGTCTGAGATTGAATCAATGCCCAAAAACAATGACCTACTCTGCAGCCTCCAATGTGAAGTATGTGGAGCTTGAAAGGAGGAACCCAATCATAAGCCACGTTTAAAAGGAGAGACACGGGCATCTCTCTATAAGAATTTAATATTGAAATATCTTTTAAACTGGTGAGATTTATGAAATGGGCTTCCGTTAGAATGCCTTCCCATGAATTATTTGATAGATCCAGTTCAACTAGCTGGGAGAGTTTTCCCAAACTTTTTGGAATGGAGCTATTCAAATTGCTACTAGAGAGGTCCAGTGTTTTCAAGGATGACAAGTTTCCAATAGATTCTGGAATTGAACCCCAAAGTAAGAGGCTCGAAAGGTGTAGATGCTGCAAACTTGTTAACATTCCTAAGGAGGCCGGCAGTTGGCCTTCGAGCCCACAATCAGAAAAATCTAGTGATTCTAATGCCATTGTATTATTTGGACAATTTGACCAACAACTCCAAATCTCTTCAATTTTCTCACCACACAATTTGTTCCCAAAATCATCAAATGTGTTCCCAAGACTTAAAAACTTCAATTTGCACATATTTCCAATGACTCTGGCAATTCGACCTTTGAGGTCCAAATCACTTAAATCTAGGTATTCCAGAGATTTAAGGCTTGCAAGCATCGGGAAAAGGACCACCGAAAGAAGACTTGCTTAAATCAAGTTTTTTGAGGCTGGTAAGATTGAAAAGCCAGCTTGGAAATGAAGAAGTATTGAAGAAATTATATGACAGATCAAGGACCGAAAGTGAGGTGAAGTTAATCTTCTGTAGTGATAGTGGAAGGCTTTCAATCATGCTATTAGATAAGTGTAACTCCAGTAAGGAAGGAAGCATGTTAACATGATGCAGCCAATTTGGAACTCCTATGCTGTTAAGATTCACTCCATTGAGATTGAGGTATTTTAGGGAAGAGAGATGAGAAAGCCAATTCAAGCTTTTGGAATGCATTTCGAATAAGGACGACAAAGAGTAGTCAAGATCAAGATAGTTCAATTTTGATAAGTTACCGAGAGAAGGTGGAATCTCTCCCGAAAATGATCTCACACTACTAGTTCAGTCTGAGATTGAAGCATTATCCAAAAACCGGGACCCACTTTGCAGTCACTTATATAAAGGTTGTGGAGCTTGAAAGGAGGAACCCAATCATAAGCCACGTTTAAAATGGGGCACATGGGCTTCTCTATTTCATCCTTGAAAATTCGAAGATCTTTTAATCTTGTGAGATTTGTGAAATGGGCTTCCGTTAGAAAGCCTTCACATGAATTCCAAGAAAGATCTAGTGTAACTAGCTCGGAGAGTTTTCCCAAACTTTATGGAATGGAGCCGTTCCTATAGCTACCAAAGAGACTCAATGTTTGCAAGGATGATAAGTTTCCAATAGATTCTGGAATTGAACCCCAAAGTAAAAGCCCCGAAAGGTGTAGATGCTTCAAACTTTTTAACATTCCTAAGGAGGCCGGCAGTTGGCCTTCCAGCCCACAATAAGACAGATCTAGTGATTCTAATGCTATTGTATTATTTGGATAATTTGACAAGCTCCAAAAAAACTCTTCAATTTTCTCACCAGAAAAATAGTTCCACCTAAGACTTAAAAACTTCAATTTGGACATATTTCCAATGACTCTGGGAATTCGACCTTTGAGGCCCAAATCAGTTAAATCTAGGTATTCCAGAGATTTGAGGCTTGCAAGTTCACCAGGAAAAGGACCACTGAAAAAATTCTGGCTTAGATCAAGTTTTCTAAGGCTGGTAAGATTGAAAAGCCAGTTGGGAAATGAAGAAGTATTGAAGGAATTACGTGACAGATCAAGGACCGAAAGTGAAGTGAAGTTAATCTTCTGTAGTGATAGTGGAACTTCTGCGCTTTCCACCGAGCAATAAGATAAGTGTAACTCCAATAAGGAAGGAAGCATGTTAACATGGTGCAGCAAATTTGTAACTCCTACGTTGCTAAGATTCACTTGATTAAGATTGAGGTATTTTAGGGAAGAGAGATGAGAAAGCCAATTCAAATTTTTGGAATGTATTCCACCAAAGGGGTCATAAAAATAATGGAGGTCAAGATATTTCAAGTTTGATAAGTTACCAATAGAAGAGGGAATCTCTCCTGAAAATGATGCAGACGATATATTGAGATACCTCAGACTTTTAAGCTCCCCAAAGAACTTAGGGATGTG